AAAAAAAAAACATCATTTATTCAAAACAGATTTTTTTTCACATATGCAACTTTGATGTAGCGCAACTACTTTCAACATTAAAAGGAGAATTTTCCCAAAAAATTAAATGTTTGCCATCATTTACTCATCCTCCGCAAAATATTCTAATAGAATGTTGGAAAAATTGCCATTGACATCTATATTCTTTATTTGCTGTTGTTGTTCCTAAATTGCATGGCATTGTTTTCCAACATTATACACAATCTTGTTTTGTGTTCTACTGAAGAAAGACTTTTATAAAAGTTTATAACCACTTTTGTCTGAGTAAGTGGTGAGAAAATCTACATTTTTGGATGACATATCCCTTTAATTATAAAATACTTTTTAGTACACTGTGAAACCCAAAAAGTTAAGGTAACTCAAACCATGTGAGGAAACCGATTGCAACAAACCATTTGAGTTAAAAAAAATAAATAAATGATCCATACAAGTACTGTGAACTTACTCCATTTAAGTTGTAGTTATGAGGTATTTAATTAACTCATTACCTTCAACACTGAGCCATCTGTTTGTGACCTCAAGCTGAAGCAAATTTGGGTTCTGCAGCAAGGCAATGATCCAAAGCACACCAGCAAGTCCACTACTGAAAGGCTGAAAAAAATAAATAAATAAAATAAATAAATAAAGAAGACTGGAGTGACCTAGTCAAAATCCTGACCTGAATCCAATTGAGATGCTGTGACATGAGGCTATAAAAGGTGGTTCAAACCCAAAAAACTATATGAAGACGACTTTGGAGTGGCCTAGTCAAAATCCTGACCTGAATCCAATTGAGATGCTGTGACATGAGGCTATAAAAGGTGGTTCAAACCCAAAAAACTATATGAAGACGACTTTGAAGTGGCCTAGTCAAAATCCTGACCTGAATTCAATTGAGATGCTGTGACATGAAGCTATAAAAGGTGGTTCATACTCGAAAAACTAAATGAAGAAGACTTTGGAGAGGCCTAGTCAAAATCCTGAATTGATTCCAATTGAGATGCTGCGACATGAACCTTTAAAAGGTGGTTCATACTCGGAAAAACTAAATGAAGAAGACTTTAGAGTGGCCTAGTCAAAATCCTGACCTGAATCTAATTAGGATGCAGTGACAGGAACCTATAAAAAGTGGTTCATACTCAAAGAACCCTCTAATGTGGCTAAATTTCAATTCTGCAAAAAATGAGTCGACCAAAATTTCTCTATAGAGCTATAACAGTTTCATCACAAATTATCGAAAACACTTAATTACATTTGTTGCTGCTAAGGATGGCCCAACCAGTTACTGGGTTTAGGGGGCAAACACTTTTTCACACAGGGTAATTTAGTTTTGGATTTTGTTTTTGCTTAATAATAAAAACCTTCATTTGAAAACTGAATAATGTGTATACTTGTGTTATCTTTGACTAATATTTACATTTATTTAATCATCTAAAATATTAAAGTGTAGCAAACATGCAAAAATTAAAAAAAAAAAAAGTCAGTAAGGGGGCAAACACTTTTTCACACCACTGTATGTAACACGGAGGACTGGAGTAATGATGCTGAAAATTCAGCTTTGAATCATACAGGTTTTTAACTTTTAACCACAGACCCTTATGCTTGCTTTAATTGATTATAGTGACAAATGCGCCAACTTTCATTAAATGTACTTGCCTTTAAATACAAAAGCATTGCCGTTTTTCTGCAATTAAATTATTACATAATGACCCTCTGGTTTATCTTCCCTCTTTTATGTAATGAAAAATGTAACTGCAACACACCTGCAGCTCAGACAAAACTCTTCCATATATGTTGCTTTGAAGCTGGAGGGAAAACAAAGAGGCCTGACCCTGAGATAACAGATAAACAGCCTATCACGTCTCCATTCAACTATCTCAAAAGCAGAGATATGAAAGCAGAAACAGAGCTCCCATCTTTGATTGTACCTGTATGTGATGCAGTACATCACTGTATCTGAATCCAATAGCAAAAGCGAGACTTCAAAAGAGCAGGGAGGTCTTGGATTTCAGTTTTTGGGACCCCCTGGCCATCGGATAGATGAGGTAGGGCTTGTACGACGAATGAAGACAACATCACAATGAAGAACTGTCCTGAGAGCCACAAATTACATTGGGAGGACAGTTAATGAGGGTGATAATGCACATCTTTGCAGATGAACGATGAGGGGACGGCGATTACAGGCCAAATGTGTGAGATTTATGGTTACATTTTTTTAACGCACTACAGGCTAAATACGACAGTTTTTAAGGATTTGATATGCTCGTAAATTATTATTTAAACAATGGGGGCCTGGGATGCAAAAGCATGCTGAATGGAATTTAAGAATTGTCTTTACAAAAGTTCGGTACATATTTTTTTTTCTAAAAATAATTATGTTTATTGGATTTTCACATAAATACAGACATAACAATACATCTTCAAAAGATATGCAAAGAAAAAATATGAATAGAAAACGGGAGAGAAAAAAAGAAGTAAAAAAAAAAACAAAGAAGCAAACATAAAAAAGCTCATGTTATATATAAAGCAGGGCTACCTCAAATAAAACAGATCAGAAAAAAGCTAAAACATTTGCTTATTTTCCAGATAATAATACAGTTACAATATTTCTTTTAACAATGACTAGGTTCCAAATAATCCAAGTAAGGAGTCCAAACTTTGAAAAATTCTTCAGTTTTTTTGTGCATGGGTAAGATGTTCCAGGGAAATTAACTCAAAAATTATCCTTTAAGTAATGGAGATTTATCACTAATCCAATTACATACATACATATACAGTTGAAGTCAGAATTATTAGCCCCCCTAAATTATTAGACCGCTTGTTTATTTTATCGCCAATTTCTGTTTAATGGAGAGAAGATTTTTTTTCAACACATTTCTAAACATAATAATTTTAATAACTCATTTCTAGTAACTGATTGATTTTATCTTTACTATGTTGACTGTAAATAATTTTTTGCTAGATATTTTTCAAGACACTTCTATACAGCATAAAGTGACATTTAAAGGCTTAACTGGGTTAATTAAGTTAACTAGGCAGGTTTGGGGAATTAGGCAAGTTATTGTAAAACAGTGGTTTGTTCTGTAGATTATTGAGAAAAAATATAGCCTAAAGGGGTAATAATTTTGTCCCTAAAATGGTTCATAAAAAATTAAAAACTGCTTTTATTGTAGCCGAAATAAAACAAATAATACTTTCTCCTGAAGAAAAAATATTATCAGACATACTGTAAAAATTTCCTTGCTCTGTTAAACATAATTTGGAAAATATATAAAAAAGAATATATATATATATGTATATATATATATATATATATATATATATTTTTTTTTTTTTGGTGACAAAAGTTAATATACTATACAATTTCTTATTAGCTGATGAAAAAAATGTGTCCATTAGGTATACCCCAAATCGGGGAAACTGGGTCAAAATCCAGTTGCATATTAAAGATATTTTCCATTTACCCTATCACCAAAGACCAATACCTTTGCAGTCTGTCATATGACCACATAAAATGTGTTAAAAAGGCCTACATAAGTTTTACATTTTACACAAATTAAAAGGGTTAAATAGATGTCTGTGGTTATCTGCAATATGAAGTCTGTGTATTATTTTATATTGTATTTCTCTTGTATGTTTACAAACATACATTTTCTCAGCATTAGACCAAATATTATCCCATGTTTCCTCATCAATATCAGTAACTAACTCTTCCCCCCATTTGGTTTTAATACTCTGTATATCAGAAGATGGGATTGAACATACAAACCCATAAAATCGACCCACAGACATCTTTCCTGATGATAAACATAATAACCGATTAATGGAAGACATCTATTAATTTATAACAACTGTTGTGCTGTCAGCGATGCATTGTCCCAATTAAAGAAAACGAAAAAAAAAAAAAATAACAATTTTGACTAATTGGTATTTCTGAACTAATTTCTTCATAAAAGAAATTAATAAATCAGTACATTTTTTGATAAAAGATGCAATACAGCAAGGCACTTGGAGTGAGCTGGGAAAGTTACTAGATACCTGCACACAAGTGTGTGAGTCCAGTAATGTAATACTGGAATAAAGTGTGTCACCATTGCTCACACTGTCTGGACTGAAGCAACATGTTGGCAAAGTTCTCATCTGTGACATTTATTCATTTATTTATTTACAGTAAATGAACTATGCATCTTTTTTTTTTTTTTTTTTTTTTTTACGGATTTAAAATATTAATGGGTCTTTAGTTCAACAGAGAATATATAAATAATAAATAAAAGAAAAAGAAAAAAAATAATAATAACTTAAAATAATCAACATGTATTTACTGGAATTTAAGTAAAATAAACACTTTTCAGGTCTTAATGTTACAATGTAATTTTTGCAGTAGGATAAGTTGGCGGCCCATTCCATTGTGGCGACCCCTGGTTAATAAAAGGACTAAGCTGAAAAGAAAACAAATGGTTCTCTTTAATAATATAATATAATATAATATAATATAATATAATATAATATAATATAATATAATATAATATAATATAATATAATATAATATAATAGATAATTTAGTTACAGTATTTTTCTATAAGTTAGAAAAAATATATTAATCTATTTGTTTAATCTATTTTATATGTATCGTATATGTATATTTTTATTAATTAAATTATTATTAATGTTATAATGTAATTTTTCAAGTTTGGTTCTCTTTAATAATATAATATAATATAATATAATATAATATAATATAATATAATATAATATAATATAATAGTTACAGTATTTTGTTCTATAAATTAGCAATAAATATGTTTAATATATTTGTTTAATATAATTAATTAATACATTTTATTAATTTATGTTTAAGCATAGCTATTATTAAATATTCTTCTATTGTTTAAATATCTGAATTAATCACCATGCTTTAAAAAAGCGGTCCTTTAAAAAACATCACAGCACATTCATAATGCGTTGTGCATTACCTGACCTAATCCTTCAGAAACTGTAGGTCAGAACCGTTTTTTTTTTCCTGCATGACAAGGTTTCTGACTCAAGCCCCGGGCGACGTCACTGCATGTGAGATGAGTTCTGAGTCTCTTCCAGCACCAAAAAGAAAAAAAAAAGAAAAAAAAAGTCTCCATCTGAGAGCAGGAAAAAGCTTGACGAGACGATCACGAAATGCCTTCGTCTACCTGTGTAGATCGGGATGAGCTCAGGAGCGCTCGCAACAGGGCGCGCGCGCACAGGTTCAGCACATGGCACTCAGATCAACACTCCTGCGCCTCACGAGAACATCTAAACAGCTTACATTCCGCGCGGAAACACTTTTTAAAACTTCTGGCATTTTAGTAGTTCAGGAGGTTTGACTGCATTCCACCAATCTCGAGATCTAAGTACGCTTTTGACTGGATATATTTTTTTCCTCACTTGAGCTGGATGAAGGTGTCCCAGGAGCAAGAAAGAAGATGCTGACCACTTTACAAGCGGATTTTGCGTTCTCTCTGTGTGGAAGTGTATTGGTATCATTCAAGGGTGCTGAATCGCCTTAGAAATTGTCAAACTTCCGAGCCTCTTTCATCACTGAACTGGCATCAGACCTACATTATTGTTCTTCGAGGGGCATCAGACCATGACGATTCCACTTTCCAGAACGCAGCTTGCCCTCTTCTTCATCCTCCTTTGTCCGGTCAACATAATCGGGCTCTGGTGGTAAGTAATGTGTCTCAGGCGCGTGCTCTATCGCCTCCAGATTTTTTAGCAAGCTTAAGAGTGAAAGCTCGATCTGTTTGATTATGTGGAAACTTCGAGGTGAACGCGAAAAAATAAAAAAAAACGCCAACACTCGTTCGCATAATAAATGCTTATCGGGTTTAAAAATTATGTTGTTATCAGGAAAATCTTACTGTATTTATGAAATGTTTCTCTGGAGGTTAAAACGATGTCTATGTTGCATGTAGGTTCAGATCAGTGTGCTTGTTTCTGAAGTTTTCAATGCAGAATAAGATACACTCATAAAATAGGAATTTATCATTGGTATCAATTGATCTATCTATAACCTTTAAAATCAACAGAACATTCCCATTATATAAAAAGTTTCAGCATGATAAAAAATTGTTCTTTATATATATAACTTATATATATATATATATATATATATATATATATATATATATATATAACTTTATATATATAACTTCTGTTCTTAATATATATATAACTAATATATATATTATTATTATTATTTTTTTTACTGTCTTGAAAGAGCCCAAAAGTCTGATGGCATCACTGCAAAATCTTCCTTACAGTACATGTATTTGTATATGTGTAATGGGCAAAGGTTATTTATGGAAAATATTGTTTCATGTGCAAGTGGTGCTGTTTTCGTGATTACAAGCATAACATTTATGTATAATATTACTTAGGATTTAAATTGATTTAAAACATGTTAAAAAGGAAAGTTATGAAGCCAAAGATGACAGTTTTGTAAAGCCTTTGTTAATAAAATTGAATTGAAATGGAGCATGAACAGCGCATCACTCTAAATATGCTAGTAAATGTTAAATGTGCTCAGAGAACTTGACATAAAAGTTGTTGATCATAGTTTTAATTATTAAGGGTTTCTAAGGGTTAATCTGTACTCAGAGGCAGACACATTGGGGGTCAGAGCTGGAATTTTAGGTGGACCTCCGGGCTGTGAGTGTCATCATAAACTACTCCTTCTCTTAACACTCTGAAATGCACAGGTTTGACAAGTGGGAGATTGTTTGATAAACAGAGACGAACCAAAGTGGCTCATCACCTGTTATTTAGCTTCTCAACCCTTCAAATTTCCAGCTTACACAAGGTCAGCTGCACCTAACGCTCTCCTCACACACACACATGCACGCACATACACCTGGAGGTCTGAAAAAGTTTGCAGAGACAATGATGCTTTCTTTGGGATACGACGCATGCCATCACAAAGCTCTGGTGTGGTGCTGGGCTGTGCAGAGAGTCTCTGACAGACAGCGTGCCATTCACATGCTGAGAGGAGATGAAACGGAGGCAGATAAACTGGCTCTCAGGCCTCTGATTGTGCTCTGATCTGCGAGACTGAGAGCTGAGTGCTTGAGGAAATGATGGGAAGCCTCACCTCCTTTGGAGTCTTCGGGGTCATGTGCTGGCAGCCCGCCAGGAGTCTGTCGGACAGGTGTGCCTGTGCACGCGCCATACCCTCTCACTTTTATGTCTGAGAGTCCGCTCTCAGTCAACATTTTTGCATTGAGATACTCATGTGTGACCTTTTAAACACTCTGTGCATTCACATTACTTATGCTTACGTAGCGGCTCTCAAAAACATTTTACTTTGAGGCCTTCTATTGTGCAGCATTTTTCAAAGGCCCCTCATATGAATGTTCTATATACAGTTGAAGTCGGACTTATAACGGAAAAAAAATTGAAAGGGGGCTAATAATTTTGACTTCATATATATATATACTTGACCAACCCAGACCATATTGTTTCAGGCTGCTAAAAATGTCTAATATATATATATATATATATATATATATATATATATATATATATATATATATATATATATGTCTAATAATGACCAAACGCCATGTAACGAACTATTTTGCAACAATTTAAATATTAAAATAATTAGAACACAAATAATGATAACAACATATGCGCAGTAACAATTAGATATATTGTTAATTCATAATTGGATATATTAATTTTATCATAAAAATCTAACATTTAGTTTATACTTGTATATTTCTGCATAAAACAAATCTAGACTAAAACACAAAAATAAATTTAAATTGGTTTGGACAAAATGAACATTTTATATAACATGTGCATTAGTAATACCTTTCATTCAGAAATCTCCCACTTGTAATATGTAAGCATATTTCCTATACAAAACTTGTCAGAAAACTGATTAAAAAAAAAAAAAAACGTGGAAAACTGGGCGATTTGGCCTAATATTAAAATCTCGATTAATTGAACATTTTAACTCTTACAATTATGATAAATGAACAATTATTTTATATATTTATTTTGTTTTTTTTGTCCTCATAGTTCACTGACAAGTTTTGTACAGTAAATAAACTCACATATTACAAGTAAGAGATTTCTGAATGAAGGGTGCATTACTTGATTTTAAAATAATTGAAGAAAACACACACTATCTACCATCTATGTCTATTTATTGAACATAAATGTTAAATAACTGAAACGAAAACACTCATTGCCTAAAACGCGATCTCCGCGCTGTCCAACCTCATCACCGCTACCAAGGTGACCAATCACAACGCTTCATTGTTACTTGTAGTTACATTTTTTGGAGAGGTGCACGGGTATGCGAAGGCTGCACTGGACCATACGTGTGCGCTTGGCAGATGTATAATATCAGAATAATATAATAACTATAAAGCATAATATAATAAATATAAAGCCTAATATAATAAGTATAAATCAGCCTTAACAGAGCGGGGTCATGTGACTCCACACACTGTTTGGGAAAGTAATTGAAAAAATTTACCTGAAAAAATTAGATCGATCATAGGATCTGAATATCAATTTTGCTTACTTTTCAATTAATCGCCCAGCCCTAATGTGTATTTTAGAATTTTTGATAAGTTAAAATATTGGAATCTAACTTAAATTAAACAGTTTTCATAGCTGATGAAAGGATAATTCACCTTATAATCACAATTATGCTTTAATCACTTTTGTTTTGTGTCATTTCAAACATTTATTGGTTCACTGGAACAAAAAAAAAACAAGAATGTTTTTGTCCATGGAGTGAAAATCAATTAGGTTCAGTACAAAAACACGAACATCAGTTTTACTATTCAGACGAAAAGCATTTTTCAGAATGTCGTCTTGTGTGTTCCACAGAACCCGAAAAGTCAAGTTTGGAATGACATGATGATGATTAAATGATGACAAAAGTGTCGTTCTTATCCAAGCACGGGTCTCCAATTGGACCTAATCAATGTACGCGAGTGTGTCCCAGACAGCACAGTCTCCTCTCTCTGATGTTCAGCCTGGGTCAAGCGAATCTCATTTGGAGAATGGACAGATATCCAATCAAGCGGTCTTGAGAGATGGATCAGATAACGATTAGATGACAGCTGCTTGGCCCGTTTGGCCGCACTTACAGTGTTTCACCTCCAAACATGCGTCTGCTGCCGCTCTCTTGCTCCTCTGCTCTGGCCTGTCCCATCTGCATGTGACAGACAGCGTCGTAGTGATGGAGCTGGTTCCACTTGCATGATTTAGTGGCGCGCTCCAAGAAGAGATTGTGCCATGGCTCTGCGCCACGCGCCACAGAAATGAACCCAAGCCACTCTGCGCTGTTCCAGCCCTGTCGTGACTGACTTCATATCCAGCATACTTGGGGGATTAAGTAGGGATGAATTTCGCTCTTTCACAAAGTTAAAAAAAAGAACAGACTTATCTGTAACCGTGCAATTCATAATGTAACCTGAGGTCTCAGCAGACGCATTGGACGACAGGCCTATGAAAAGATAAATGCGCATGTATACGTTCGCACTGATTATTTGGATAACTTCTCTTAATCACAGTTCCTTCCTCCACCCCTCATCTGTATTATCTCTCTCATACATCACATTGTGGCTTTTTTTTGGGGATATTCCTGATTGCACAAGATGGGTACATCCTTTTCCATGTTATGATTAGGCCCCATCTACGGCTTATCACATCCAGGGGTCTCACCAGATAAAGGCCAAGCAGGAAAGAGTGACTTTGAATGAAGCCGTGAGGATGGCGGTCGATCTAGAGCGTGTGGTCTAGAGCTGACATCAGATCAGCGTTTCCTTTTAAAATCAAAAAGTGAATCATTGGATGAGAAGTGGCAGAAGTGAGCTGCCATCATTGTGTCCAGATTGACTCTTTCTGCAGGCATGTTATTTTGCCTATTGTTATAGCTGGTTTTCATTAGAGCCAGGGAAGGGATGGTTCATCAGACGCAGATGAATATCTTTATATCACCCAAGCCATAATGGGACCACATATGCATCCCAGGGCCGCTTATGTGATACTCAAGCTTTCCGTTAAATCCAGCGCTTCGCCTCGCCCCTTCTGACAGAGAAACAGGACTGGGAAAGAGAGAATCGCTCCAACACTGTCTGCTCTTTTACGAGTCTACACCTCCTGCTGTAAAATGTGGCTCCATTATTTGAGCAGTGATCCTGGCTCTGAGAAGCTCACCAGTTTATAGATAATCAGAGACAGAATGGACGAACTTAGTATCTATATTCTGGCATACTCATGTAGTGTAGGGTTGTGTAGCCTGTTGTGTGTGTGAACTCATAGTTTCAACTAACTTTATTTTAGTATTGAGAAGTATTTTCAACTGAAATGGAATACTGAATAGAGGATGGGGTTTTATTTCATTGTCCGAGCCATCAAGCTGACATCATGAGAGTAGGAATGCCATTACAGAGCAGAAGCTAATTTTTAGATTCTGTATAGATTGAGATTTGTCTGGGGATTTGTTTGAATAGATTAATAAGTATAGTCATGTGTACAAAAGATTCTGATTTTGTGATGACTTTAAGCATTGTGGAAATCTAAAAACTCGGGTTGTCATTTTATTACGTCCTAACTGCCTGTCAGTCTATGTATATACATACCCCTGCTCAACTTGTGCTACATTTCCCAAAACCATCGTTAGCTAACTAAGGTCACATGTT